GAGGGAGACCCCATCTCTACAAAAAAAAAAAAAATGTGGTGGCGTGCACCTGTAGTCCCAGCTACTTGGAAGGCTGAGGTGGGAGGATCACTTGAGCCCAGCAATTTGAGACCAGCCTAGGCAATAGAGGGAGACCCCATCTCTACAAAAAAAAAAAAAATGTGGTGGCGTGCACCTGTAGTCCCAGCTACTTGGAAGGCTGAGGTGGGAGGATCACTTGAGCCCAGCAATTTGAGACCAGCCTAGGCAATAGAGGGAGACCCCATCTCTACAAAAAAAAAAAAAATGTGGTGGCGTGCACCTGTAGTCCCAGCTACTTGGAAGGCTGAGGTGGGAGGATCACTTGAGCCCAGCAATTTGAGACCAGCCTAGGCAATAGAGGGAGACCCCATCTCTACAAAAAAAAAAAAAATGTGGTGGCGTGCACCTGTAGTCCCAGCTACTTGGAAGGCTGAGGTGGGAGGATCACTTGAGCCCAGGACGTTGTGACCGCAGTGAGCCATGATTGGGCCACTGCACTCTAGTCTGGGTGACAGAGCTAGACCCCGTCTCAAAATAAAAACTAAAACTTTGGCCCAGCACCAATTTCGTCAAACAGGAAGGCAATGGAGTTAAACAGAGGCTGAGGATGCCTGTCCATCCCAGAAAAACAGCAAGTTGATTTCCCTGGCTATACTTACTAACTTTGCTTAATAAGTTAACGTAGCCCTGGCCCTTCACTTTGGTAATCCCATCTTTTACACCGTTTTGCAGGACAAGTGAGATAGAAGGGGCCAACCAGCTACTGGAGCTCTTTGACCTCATCAGGTACTTTGTTCATCGGGAAATCTATCCAGGCAGCAAAGTCACACACTTTGAGAGGTATGCGGACATAAGGGAGGAGCAGGGTGAGAAAGTACCAGAGAGGCTTGGGAAACCAAGATACTAGCTTGGTTACCCATGCCCTATCTTCCACAGGTTGCAGCAGAAGACTGGAATTCCTTTCTCCCAGATGATCTTCTTCGATGATGAGAGGCGGAATATTGTAGACGTCAGCAAACTGGGTACTGAGTGATGAGCAACAGCCATTTGGGGTCCCTAGGAGGGATTAGGTAGATACACACAGGATGGATAGTTTGCCCTATAGGTGGCACCCACAAAGGTCAGAGTGATAATGGAGAACCCTGAAAGCCTGATGAAATGTGACTTCTTATCTTTCTAGGTGTTACCTGCATTCATATCCAGAATGGAATGAATCTTCAAACTCTAAGTCAAGGGTTAGAGACATTTGCAAAGGCCCAAACTGGGCCTTGAGGTCCAGCCTTGAGGAAAGCCCATTTGAGGCCTAAACTGAAAGGAAATCAAGAAGACATTTTCAAGTGCATTTGTAATTTATTAAAGTTCATCTGTGTGTGACAGTAGAGATTTTTACTCACAGTGTGGGGAGTTTCTATTTTTCTAGCCTGTGAAATGGGGTTGGTTGTCCTGAGGTGCAAAGACCAGAATGTGAGACATTAGACTGCATCAGGTTTGCTATCTAAACTTAGGGCAACCCCAAGTGCTTGAACCTATACCACCCCACTTCCTGAGCCCTGTAAAGAGCATGAAGAGTTTTCCCACTGACCCCATACATTGAGGTGCCATCACACTGCACATTTCCTTCCGGAGAACAAGCACATACTCTGGGGTGGAGACAGGACTGCCTTTTTATGTAATAGAAAATGATGTGGCTGCTTTAAGAGGAGCACCTCCGTCTGGGACTGGTGGCTTGGGTCACGTGACAGCGGTGGTCTCGTTTGCGCCTCTTGATGATGTCGCGGCGGCGCCCTGAGGAGGGATTGGGCAAAGCTGGTCCCTGTGTGATGAGACCATCACCCTCCCAGGAGCAAGGCGGAAGTCTGGAGGACGCCGAGGGGCGGAGGCGGGATAGGCGAGCTCGCGATGAGTGGTCTCGGCAGGCTCTTCGGGAAGGGTGAGCCGGGGTGGGACTGGCCAGCCAGGAGGCTGGTGCAGGGGAAGAGGAGATCCCGGCGAGATTCGGCCGGACCGCTGCGCCGGGCAGGGGAAGAGAATCAGGAGACAGGCTGACTGGAAAACCCCGGCGGCCGATGGCGGAGCAAGGCTCATCGCCGGTGCCAGAAGGCACACCATGTCAAGGCGCCTGGTTCCCGTCCGCCGTCCTCCCTCACTCTCTGAGGGAAGAACTCAAGATCGGGGAGGGGACTTGAGTTGAGGGCGTGGCGATCGTGCTGGCTCCCACTGTTCAGGCTTGAAGATGAGTTTCCTGCTGTCTTCAGCCCTTTTCAAAACCTTGTTCTATAATACTTTGTGCTGGGCAAGAGGGATCTAAGATGAAGAAGAAAGACTGCCTTCTTGGCCGGGCGCGGTGGCTTACGCCTGTAATCGCAACACTTTGGGAGGCCGACGTGGGTGGATCATGAGGTCAGGAGTTTAAGACCAGCCTGGCCAATATGGTGAAACCCCGTCTCTGCTACAAATACAAAAATTGGCCGGGCGCGGTGGCTCACGCCTGTAATCCCAGCACTTTGGGAGGCCGAGGCGGGTGGATCACCTGAGGTCAAGAGTTCGAGACCAGCCTG